TACTAACCGCCCTTCAGAGAAAGTTGCTAGCGGGAAGAGTCGTTCGTGAGAAAAGCAGTAGGTGATAGATTTAGGGACTGTTAGGATAAAGACTGTTTGCCCGTTTGAAGGATCTTAGTTAACAAAATCCTAAGATTTATAGCGGCTCCTCAGGCTAACTGAACATGTACTGTGGAGATGCATCAACATCTGGTAATCATCTTGCCCGAAGAACAGAGTCTGCATGTGGCGTGCCAAGAGACAAAAACCGCTGGAATGTTTACTGTCGAGTGCCGCTACAACTATTCCTTTTTAAGGAGAGCTATACAATTACTCTGTACTTCTATTAGGTAAAAACGTTCATCCCGTGACCGCGGCTAGGGATAGCGATTAGTTGTCACTTCGAGCCCAATCTCATTATCACAAATCTCGGACAATTATAATTGGATTAAATCGTAAAGACGAAAGTATTGGGGATTTTCCCAAGAATTCCAAAGGGAACGCCCCGATGTCCTTTCATCTCCGACATATTTATATCAGCAAGGTTCATGACCTCCCTGTTTTTACATTAAATGTTTCGAAAAGTTGTATTTCAAACCATGGCATGGTTTTCGTTGAAGGTAATCGTTTCGTGGAGGGAAATTTCAAATAGTGAATGAGTCAAATTATATAGTTCTGGAAGAATAATATAATTAAACATGAAAATATTAAAAACCTGAGTACATCGAAATATAACAGATATTTTACAAGGGAAGTAAAACATGAAATATTAACATAATTAATATAACAAATTATTTATTTCTTCTTGAATATATTTTGTATGACGCAATTTTTTCTAAAATATATTTTGTATGGCGCGTGCTATCATTTTGTTATCTCAAATTTATCTGCTATTTATATTTCTTTACATAATTTTCATAATATATTTATGAAATAGATGTATTTTCATAACCTATATTCTACTAGATATTTTTCACATGTTCAATGAGATATGTAGTATAGGAAGTGCATAAATATATATTTTTTATGTATCTTCAAACACAAAGTAGAATATTGAGCACGCTATCATTTTCCTGTGGATTGTAAAATGATCAACTGTGGTTGATAAATTATTAAATTGCAAAAATTTGTCGATTTGTACTACGATGTGCGGAGTGTGAATAGTAACGGTAGTAAACACACAATTGAATACCCAAACGACAAACTCCTGAGCTTTATACTTATTTTTATCGTTCAATCTTTATCGATTCCATACGAGCATCGACCGCTCTGGGATATTTGAAATATAGGTAGTGTCTGTGATGAGCACCTGCGTGGAGCAGTCGTAGAGAGGACGGAGCTGTCAGCGTGGCCGAAATCTCCGGGAAAACTGGAGAATTCAGTCAATGAAGATACGAGGCCCGGCCGGTGCAGAGATGAAACTGGCCCAGGCTGGCAAACCACCCGCTTAACATTATTCCTAAAAGTATGCATAATATAAAAATGGTCAGAGGCTGAGTACCAGTCTAAGACACTACTCCCGCTCCAACTCAACCTCATTCGTCGATTAACACTAAGTATAAACACTAAGTCCGGGAAACTAGTCCTTCCATTCCTCAGTACGCGTCGCATACCAGCGCCATGTTTCGGCGGAGGCTCTCAGCTTCCTCATCTATGCCTGATTACCTCGTGGCGGCATCCACTCCAGGTAACCACTATAGTGGCCGCTTGGAGTAGATCTCTCTCCTTCTCTTTGACCTTCCACCTTGGTAATGGGTGTACACGTCCCCCGCTCGGACTGCAGCCATCACCTGCGGACGCCGTCCCAGGTCTAAAATATCATCCACCTCCATAAATATATAGAGGTGGTCCGAGAGTGACTCAACCTCCTTCTTTCCAGCCTGCGATCCGTGTGAACGCGTTGGGGGTCGTTCACCCTGTGGAGCCCCTGTTCACCAACAGAAACCCGAGTTCCACAGCCCACCATGACCGCGCCAGCCCGCATGCATTCGTCCTGGGGGCATTCTATGGAGTGAGCATTGAAATCCCCCAGGACGAGCACCTGGTGGGGAAGGAATCGGCTTACGCAATTGCCAACCCCGTCTAAGAATTGCTCGAATGCAGCCCGTCTGCTGTTGGGCGAGATGTACATACCCGGTACCACCATTCCTGCCCACTTGAGCGATTCAGACGTGAAGAAACATATTATGCGATAACGAAAAGATTTGAAAGAATTCAAGATCAAAAAATTAGAATACATTCTGGTTGAAAAGAAGAAACCAAAACCATTAAGACTATATAGGCCGCGAATTAAAGCAGTGTGTGTAAAAATCAAATTTGTAATTTCAAATCACGCCGTTTTATAAATTCAAAAATGTTATTCAGTTTCATATATTCTTTACAGATAGGACGGTAAGAAACATAAAACTGTGTTCAGTGAGATAGCTGAACGAGAAAAATTGTTGCACAAGAATAAAAAAGAAATAAAAGGTGCTATGCGTGAAATACGAAGAAACAGAGCTTTCTTAACGAAACTACAAATATAACAACAGAATAAGAGCGATGAAGGGCGTAAGCGGAAGATGAAAGAAATATTTAGCGAAGCTTCAGTGCAACAGAGTAAATTAGAGAAATTAAAACGGAAGAAGTAATAGTAACATAATAAGCCGCGCATTCCGGAGTCCTTGTATATTATCTATCTTAGACAATATTGGTATTTTGTATGTTGTATTTTGAATGATTGTATCAACGATGACCTCGGATATAACGGATCGTGATCACTGTATTAGCGTTTTTTAGGATTCTTATACTTTCATTAACTGTAATAAATGTAAATAAACATTTTCGTAATAAGTAAATCTTTTAACCCATTTCGTTTGTGAAAACAATATTGTAATTCTATCATACGGAGGTAATTCCTTACGAAAAAAATTTAGCAGGAAAGAAAATAAAATTCTCAGGTGCGAGGCTTAGATCTCAAGAAAAACGAGTTCGAAAATTTGTCGAGTGTACTTGAATTTCGCTAATTATAACATAAAATTTTTGTATGACACTTCGTTTTTGCGAAAACCGAGTTTGAAAATTTAATGAGTGTATTTGAACATTGCTCATTCCAGACTAGGTAGAAGTAAATAATCAGATTATTCTACATGTGAAAATGAGTCGGAAATGTAAAATAAAATTTATTCAGAAGACGGTTTGTTTTCGAGGAAAATAAATTTGCAAATCTATCACACGTGTACACTAGGACAATTCTTAACACGTTCAAATTCTATTTTCTTGAAAATTAAGTAAAAAAAACTAATTGACAAATATTATATCACACTTTTAATTTATTTTCGCATGCAGAATAACCTTCTTCTTATATTTTCATAGGGGATCGCCTTACGTCCGCGTGTATCGTAAAAGCATTTTCTTCGACCACACCCTATATAAACCGACGCAATCTTAACAATAGAATATATATGAACAATATATATGTAATAAATGGACTTCCGGTTTGGACGCGGGCGAAGGTAACACGTGAGTAGTAAGCGCTGTGAAAAAGTGAAAAGTGAAGGGGAAAAGGAGGAGGAAGACAAAAGGGAAAGAAGAAGGGAAAGAAAAGGGTGAAAGCACGAAGAGAGGGTATAAAAAGTATTTTAAAAAAGTGACAAAAAGTGCGAAACATAAAGTTAGGAAAGAAGAGGTTAGGTGGACGAAAGTACAAAACTAATTGGTCAGGAAGAAGATAGATGGCGACAAGAAGCAGATCGAGGATAACGGACAAGGCGAGAGAGAAGGAAGATCGCAGAAACACGCTGGAAAGGTACAGCGTGACAGAGAAGGAGGCAGTAAAGAGGGAGGGCGGCAAAGAAGGATGGGACGAGAGGATGGAGAAAATAGAGGGGGGTTGGAGGTGATGGTAGAGCTAGTAGAGGAGATGAGGAGGGACAGGAAAGAGGAGAGAGAAAGATGGGAAAGGGAACGAGAAGAGGAGAAGGAAAGGTGGAAGAAGGAGAGGGAGGAAGGGAGGAAAAGATGGGAAAAGGAGAAGAAAGAGTTGGAGAACAGAATCAGGAGGTTTGAGGAGGATCAGGACAGGATGGAAAGGGAGAGAAGGAAGAGGAACATCGTAATAAAGGGCGCGGAATGGGGGGAGGAAAGCGATAACGGGATAGACGCAGTGTACGTATTGAACCATATAATAGATAAACAATTGAGTGGGGAAAGAGGGAAGCCATATGCATGCTTCGCGGATCTGAAGTCAGCGTTCGATAAAAGTCAGCGTTCGATAGGGTTAAGAGGAAGAAACAGGGAGAGATAATGAGGAGAATGGGTGTGAACGAGAAGTTAACCAGAAGGATAGAGGAGATATACGAGGAGACAAAGAACGTAGTGAGGATCAGGAACAACAACACAGAAGAGTTTTGGACGGTGAGGGGAGTGAGACAAGGGTGCCCGTTGAGCCCGACACTATTTAACATCTATGTGGCAGGGCTGGAAGAGGAAATGAGGAAAGGACAAGTAGGAGGCATAGTGGTAGGAGACAGGAAGGTATGGTCATTATCATACGCGGATGACATTGTATTGACAGCGAAGAGGAGTTAAAGGAAATGATGAAGAGATTTAACACATTCCTAGAGGAAGTGGAACTGGAACTGAGCACCGAAGAGAGTGAGGGTAATAGGCTTCATTGTTAATTGGTTAAACGAAGGTTGGTGAAGAGAGTGAGGGTAATAGGCTTCGTTGTTAATTGGTTAAACGAAGGTTGGTGGACTAGGAAGGGTCTTAGCTGCCCTCGATAGAAAGTTGTTATTAGGAAGCATCGTGCGTGGGAAAACCCAACTTTCCCTTGTCAAGCCGTGGTAGACAATAATCTTTAGAAATGATTCAGAAAACAGATGTTTGTTGGGTCTGAAGGACCTTTGCAAGCAAATTAGTGGGATTTATGACGGGTGCTTAAGGTTATTGAGGGTACGCCGTAAGAATGAGCGGACATCTGGTGTCCGTCTGGCCCGCGGTGTATGACCTGGTCCAGGTAAAGAGTCGCCAGGCGTAACAAATAGTGTTTGAAAAGAGAAAGAACAAGAGGAGGCAAAGGAAATGGAGATGGGGGAACAAGAACTAGAAGAAGTGGATGAAATTAGGTATTTAGGGTACATACTGCAAAAAAACGGGAGCAACGAGAAGCATATTCAAGACAGAAAAAGGAGGGCAACAATTGCGATGAAGAAGACATGGAGCGTAGGAGAACGGATATTTAAAAGGGACTACAAGAGGAGAATGAGGATGTTTGGAGCACTGGTAGAGAGTGTAGCGCTGTATGGAGCGGAGGTGTGGAGATGGAACATAGAGGAGAGACTGGACAGGGTAAAAAGGAGATACGTGAGATGGTTGCTAGGCTTAGACACAACAACGCCAAACTACATCCTCAGAGAGGAGTGTAAGATAGAGGAAATTAGAGAAAAGGCACTGAAAAGAGCAGTAAGGTATGAGAAGGAGAAAGCCTTGGAATCGAAGAAGGAATTAGTGAAGGGATGTATAAAGGAGAGAGAAAGGAATTGGGGAAAGGGCCAAGAAGGGAAAAGAGCAAGGAAAAGAAAGATGAGATTAGAGGAGGCGAAAGAGGGAAGGACTCGAGGAGAGGCAGGAGATAGACAAGAAAGGATGACAGCGAACCAGATCATAGAAGAAAGAAGGAAAAGAGAAACAGAGGAGAGGGAGAAAAGAATAAGGGAATCTAAATACAACAAATACTACAGAAACATGGCAAAAGAAGGACTACCAAAGTACCTAGAAGGAAAGATGAAATGGGAGGATAGAAATATGGTAGCAAGATTCAGATGTGGTAACGGAACCAGGGCAAGGAAACACTGGAAAGAGGAAGGAGAAAGAGGATGCAGATTTTGCCGAAAAGGAGAGGGGGACCTGAAGCACGTAGTAGAGGAATGCGAGATTACAGGAGGAGCAAGGAACATGGGGGAAGTGCTAAAGGAAACGGGAGAAGGACTGGCAGAATTGAAAGCGATAATAGTGAAGAGAAGAGCAGCAGAAGAGGGGGAGGAACGACAGGGAGGGAGCACAGCAAGGAAGTAAAAGCCAAAGAAGGATAAGCGTTAGATATAAGTAAAGGCAATATAAGAGATGTAATCTGGAAGTTGTCCAAAGCCGAAAGACACGGATTAAGATTAATAAATAATAAAAAAATATATGTAATAAATGGTTTCTAGAGATACATTTCTTACTATTTACACTGTCCTGTTTAGTTAAGATATTATTGTTCTAAAATGATTAAAATGAACCAAATAACCATCTGGTTTGCGAAAACTTATGAAACTTCTACCAACGTGTACCTTACACTTTTGTAGTAACACCAAAATAACACCGAACCCGATATAATTTTTTTACGTGGGGAGATCAACGTTGGGAAATCAAGTTGGATTCGATGGGAGGGAGGAGCTATACGGCCGAGGACAACGAGACGCATGGGCTAAGAAAGGAAGGGAATAGGTGAAAGCCTAGGGCTACCTCAGTCATTAAATTTACTATCGATGTTACTATCACCGTGATACCGAATCCGAACGGAAAGGAGAAGGGTGACTGGTTCAGCCTATTTAAGCCGAGCAAGAGGCTTCAGCGAAGCCCGATTATAAGTGAAAGTAAAAATGGGGGAGGATGCTGGCGACGAATAGGAAGGAGGAGAAATTTTATTCTATTGAGATATGTATAATTTTCTGTGCTGGACTAGGTTAAATGCGTAGTAGAGATACTTGTATGTGAATGTCAGTGTGTGGAAGTATGTGTGTCCGAAGCGTCTCGAAAACAGATGAATGTAAACTCTTCAGTCGGTTAAGGTCCGTCGAAGGGTCGGTTAAGGGTCGTCGAAGAGTCGGTTTACAGTCGGGTATAGAAGAAAATACTGAGACGCGTGCAAGTGTGTATCGATATATAAGGAATCGTTCATGAAATAAATATATCATTGTTTTAATATTAATCCTCAGTATAAATTTAGTGTTCCTATAATATTATTTCGGCCTCAAAGATCCACAATTCTCAACATGTTCGGCGTTGGAGACAGCGAGCAGAGTACGCCGAATATAGAGAGGAACGACAAGGAGGTGAGATATCTGGCGAGGAGCGCGCTAGATATGGGAAATAGCGCGAGGGAGGATATCGACGCTCCGAATAGCGAGGTCGAGGGAGAAGAAGTAATGGTCACGATGAGCGAGATGAAGGGTTCGCAGACCTTGTCGGGGGCAGTGCAAATGCTAAACGTACCGGTGAAGGTGCCGAATCTCGACAAGGAAAGGAACGAGGGAATCCGAAAAATAGGTGACGTGATAAAAGGTATCGGTCAGAGGACAAGAAGAAGGAGGTTAAAGACTGGCCATGGAAACGTGGAAGCGAGGTAATACATGCGACGAGAGGAGGGAGAATACGAGCGAAAGAATAGCGGCCGAATACTCCAAAAGAAAGATGATGTCCTCCGGTGAAGGGAGGAAGGTCGCAACAGCTAAGAGCCTAGGGAAAGGGGAACCTACTTATGCGGAGATGTGCGGTAGGTCGGTTGTCAACGAGAAGATGGACAGAGAGAGTAGCGAGGATTCGGAGGGTTGAAGCACGGTTGGCAGAAGAAGGAAGGAAAGAAGGGGGCCCCAGGGTTTGTCATCTTCCGGTGTACGTGCTGTAGAGGTTTATGTGAAGAGGATGTAGGTGCGCGAGAATTAATGACGAGATTACTTGTTGTTGTAACCGTCAAATATATTTAAATCGATAAATTAAGACACAGTCGTAAACGTGAGTCGTTGGTACGAAGTATAAATCACAGAATAGAATCGCGGAATAAATACTCGTAAAGGTTTGTCGTGTAACTTGATAGACGCTCGTAAGATACTCAGAAAAAACTCTCGATGCTGTTAGATACACGATATGTACTCGATATGTACTGTCGTTCACGATCGTCTTCGTTTATTTATACTGGTCGGGGGAGAGTCGGAAAATTGAAATTCGTCTTGATTCGACGATTGCATGTAGCGGTGACATTGTTTTTGCCCGGAGTTTATTTGTCGTTATGTTTCATGCGTCAAGGCTAAGTCAAGGTCCTGAGGCAAAACAATAGCACGAGTTGCTCTCGACTCGCGTCGTCCTTTGACTCCTGTGCCGCTACAGTGCCAACGAAGGGGGAAAGAGAGTAGGCGGCAAAGGAGGAGGAAAGAGGCGATCCTGATCAAAGTGGAGGAAGGTCGGGGCTGGATCAAGACATACAAAAAGTTCATGGACGCCAGAAATATGATCGAGGGGGCGACGGGTATGAGAAAGTCCTGTGCTGATCACATATTTATCGAATTCTACAGGAAGATCATAATGAGTGAGGTGCAGATAAAGAATATCGATCCCCTTACCACCAAGGAGGAGCTGGTGGAGGATTCAAGAAGAGAGTGGGGGATGAAGAGTGGAGAAAGTGTCGACGTGAGAGCGTTGAGGATGGCGCCATGGGGTACTCAGGTGGCGGTGGCGGTGGTGGTGTTACCCGCGAGTGCAGTCCCACGGGAAGAGGGGGCGAGAAGATTCAGGACCGGCCTGACTATCGCTTCGACTATGCTGTTACCGGACGTGCAGCGATGCTACGAAGTGCACGGTGTCGTGTCTGGGTAGGGAACTGTGCAGGAGATGTGGCAGCAGCGAGCACGTAATGAAAGAGTGCACGAAGGGGCCTAGGTGTGCGACGTGCTGCAAGCACGTAGGAGAGAATGCTAGGCACGTTACGGGCTCGTTGGCCTGTCCGATGGTCGGGGTGGAGGGCAGGAGCAGAAGAAGATAAAGGTCCTGCAAATAAACTTGAATAGATGCAGGCTTGCGCAAGACTTGTTGCAGTACGCATGTGAGAACAGGGTGGATGTAGTGTTCATCTCCGAACCGTATAGACAGTTGCCGTATGGGTACAACGATGCGGTTGGGGATGCGTCGCTATGGGTCATACTGTTCCATGGGCGGCATGCGGCGAGCGAGACGCTGGTCTGCAAGGAAGGACTGGTAGGCATCAGGGTCGAGGACACGATATCAGCACTATTTAAATTTTTGTATCATTGATATTTCCATTTTTAAGAGAAACATTGACATCAGACGTTAATGATGTATAAGTGTTTGGTATTTTTCATCAATTGTTAATGTTACCAATTCTTCTTTGGCACTCGAGCAATAATCTGCACAAAAGAAAACATTCGAATGATATCCAAGTGAAGCGATGATCTAGTTGCTTCTGATTTAAATAGAAGTGTAATTATAAGTAAGAGTACAATTTGAGCTGGCCCAGATCCGCACGCTAGCTGTGTTATCCAATAACTGAAAACCCCGAACCCAACGTCCCCTGTCTACTGTTTATGGTCTGTCTCCGTCGCAGTCTTTTGTCTACACGCTGTCGATGGCTTCAGTGTTTGAGAAAACTAAAAAGACCAGATGTAGAGTTTTCTTAGAAGTGGTGACTACTTCAACACACCATTTTCTAAACCGGAACGTATACCATTTGCTGATCGACGACAAGTAAAATGTTTTAAATGTGGTAAGTCGGGACACGTGGCACCACAATGACAAAATTTTCAATTGGCCAGCCAAAGAAACCTACCAACCACACGAATAAACCAGATCAGAACAGATGAGAACGAGGATCAACAGCAACAGAGAGAAATGACAACGAAAGACCAAGAATATCAGGGGTTAACACAACAACTAGACGGCTACTAACTAATACCATTTGGAGGAATTGCAAGAGAACGAATTCATTTAATTGATACCGGAGCAGGGATAAATTTAATCAAAGAAAATAAATCGGACACTAAGATATTCAAATCAGACGAACCTTAAACTTTTTATATGGGACAAGACAAATATTTCACTGATAGATTTGTTAGAATCATTATTTTAGGTAAACCTCATAAATTTTACGTAGTACCTAACGATTTTCCTTTGGTTGAAGAAGGAATTATAGGATTACCGTGTCTTGAATAATATCAATATGAAATTTCAAATGATGAAATCAGATTGGACAATAACGTCTTGTATTTTCAGAAACCTAAAGTTGTTCAACCAGGAGAAAGGAGAGTTCAAACTATCTACCTCGAAGGCAAACCGACGCGAGTATGCTTCTTCAATTCTAATGAGACAAATCAAGTAATCTCTAACGAAATTGATAATAGTAAAGACCTAGAACAAATTGCTAAATTGAAAACCATTGTGAGAACAGATCATATAGAACCCGAACTTTGTATACCGATTGAAAGGATTTTGATTCATTATATCGATGTGTTCAATTTATAGACTGATCTTTTACCTCGTACAAATTTGACACAATACACGATAACTTTGAAACAAGACAAAATCATAAATACTAAATCGTGTAGATCCCCGGAATGCCATAAAGCTGAAATCGAGAAACAAATGAAAGAAATGCCAAGTACAAATATTATGGAAGAATCAGATTCGCCTTACAATTCACCCGTTTGGGTAGTACCTAAGAAGTCAGAAATGGAGAATTGTGATAGATTTCGGAAGACTAAACGAACTAACTGATCAAGACGCATATCGTTTACCAGATATCAAAGATATTCTTAGTCAGTTAGGAAACGCGAAATTCTTCTAAGTGCTAGGTCTGTCATCAGGATTCCACCGAATTCCTGAATCCCAACTCAAAGAAATACACTGCATTCTCCACAAAAACAAAGCCACTTCCATCATAATCGCATGCCATTTGGACTGAAAAATACACCCGCAACTTTTCAACGAATGATGGACACAGCATTAGGAGGATTCGTCAATGTTAATTGTTTCGTATATTTAGACGACATTATAATTTTCGGAGATACAATTCAAAAACATAATCAAAATTTAGCAAAGACTTAGAGAATTGGGACTCAAGATACAGCCTGATAAATGCGAATTCCTCAAACCAGAGCTTGAATATTTAGGACATTTAGTAGCAGTCGAAGGAGTTAAACCGAACCCGAAGAAAATCAAGCCCGTGAAAGATTTTAGGGCGCCTAGGAACCCAACCGTGGCCAAATCATTTTTAGGACTGACCAATTATTATAGAAAATTTATACGTAACTTTTCCAAGATAGCCAAACCATTGACCGACTTAATTAAGGAAGATATTAGCTTTCACTGGACGAACGAACAATAAGACAGTTTCGAAACGTTGAAACAAAAATTATGTGAAGCGCCGATTTTAACTTATTCAGATTTTACAAAGACCTTCACGCTAACAACCGACGCAAGTAACGAAAGACTAGGAGCAGTTCTCTCACAAGACGGACATCCATGTTGTTTTATTTCAAGAACACTCACCCCGCCTGAGTAAAACTACTGAACAAGAACTTCTAGCAATCGTATCGGCAATAAAAAGGCTAAGACAATATCTGTAAATTCATAATTAAGACAGACCATCAAGTTTGAAATGGCTAAACAATTGTAAAGATCCTTCATCACGTTTAATGAGATGGAGATTGAAATTAGAAGAATATGAATACGAGATTGAATACCTAGAAGGTAAAGATAACACGGTAGCCGATAGTTCATCCAGAGTTCACGCGATCACAAAAACAGAAATCCTCAAGAATGAAGTTGTTATAGATCATACAGAACATTTCAATGAATAGAAGCAAGCGGCAGGAATTCTTGAACGACTTGATTTGAAACCAAACGACAATTCCTTTTACCAGTTGACCAAAGATGAGATAGGTGAATTTGGCTTAGGAAGATTATTCAAAATCATACCAACATTGGAATAGACAACACATAATAGACACAACTATAGACACAACAATAGACAACACATTTTCAGAACTAGAAAAGATTCAATTGAAACTCATAATTCTTTATTTCCACGATACATACAAAAAATTAACTTTTGCATGGGAACCAATAAAAGAGTTGACAGAAAAAGAGTAAATAGAATTCTATGTCAAAATCATAACGAAACTATAAGACACCTAGAAGTAGAGAAAAGTTATCAAAGTATTGAAGAAAAATATAAAATACCAGGTTTACTGGAAAAGATAGAGACTTTTATCAAAAATTGCGATACATGTTAAAAGAAAAAGATAACGCGAATTCGACCCAAGGAAATCCCAATCATTTCCGACGCGTCTTTGCAACCAAACGATAAAATAGCAATGGCTATCATTGGACGATTGGACGATTGGAGATGAAAACGAGGAAATCAATTCATACTTTCGATTCACGGCGAACTGGCGAAATATTTGATATTAGTACTGTGGCGGATCGGTACCAACAGGACGCCGACAGGTCGAGGCATCAACGAGGTCGTAACACCTCCCGGACGATCCGCGGGTACCAACCGCCACTAGAGTGCTACTACGACAACAACGAGTCTGTCTGTCTCGCTAGCGGTCGAATATACATACGGTGTCACGATATAAATACCGCAATTAGCGAGACTCCCTCTATGTCTGATTCCCTCTACGTCCAAGGCAGGGACTACCGGGTATAGCCTTACTGACGAGTCTACCGGTAGTCCCGGGACGAAACGCGCATTCTCTTTTCACCTGGCAGTGACTCCACTACCACCAAAATATAATCTATTCACTTCTCGACTGAAATTCGTATACTCCAGAAGGATCCAATCAGGGGCGTTGGAAGAAAACTACAGCCACTAAATCGTCGCTAAACGTAGCCGCGGTCGTGGAATGAACGTTTTTACCTAATAGAGGTATGGAGTAATTGTATAGCTCTCCTTAAAAAGAAATATTTGTGGCGGTACTCGACAGTAAACATTCCAACGGTTACTGTCTCGTGGCTAGCCACACACAGACCCTATTCTTCGGGCAAGATGATTACCAGATATCGATACATCTTCACAGTATATTTCCAGCTAGCCTGAGGACCCGCTGTAAATCTTAGGATTTAGTTAACTAAGGTTCTTCAAACGGACAAACGGTTTTTGTCCTAGCAGTCCCTAAATCAAACATAAAAATTAACCAATTAACAGCAGCGTCCATTTCCCTCACTTTTCGAACGAAGGATTTCCTCGACGAATCTGATCATCTCGCACTCTTAGACACACCCCATCATAACTTTCCTCTACAGCATCATCGTAACGGAAAGACATTCACGTACGTATCTCATCAGCGAGTTACACAGCGTCTTACGATCAGTGAATACTCTATGCTTTAATAAATAGTTAGTTGAGTAATACTTGTGCTGTGAACAAGTAAGTCATGTACGACTTGGACTTTGGAAGAAAGCACATTTGCTATTCCGTTGACAGTGGATTCGTTGTTGAACCTAAGGTCATTGGCATTAGTATCTCGAATATCTAATTACCACGGTTACTTGTCAAATTCTCTAATAATCATAATTGTATTAGTAAATATCTCCTCTAGTGCATAACGACAATATCTAATTCAAATGGACGCCCAAACGCCCTTAACCCCAATGAGAACTCGACATATATATAGCAGGGATAGATTACTCGACGATATCGTAATCCTTGGACGACCGATCGGCTCGGCAGACCTTTCCGAATCGCGTTTACAATCTCTGCGCAACGAAGCTGACATTTCGTAGGCACCAGCAGAGATGACCGCGACCACAACGATGCCATAAACGTGGTCGCTTGGCGCACCAGAAGTACAACGCTAATGCTAAGCCCATTAAACGCGTTGACGTTGTCGTTGGCATTGTCGTTGTACGTTGCACTTTGTCGCGAGTTCAATAGCACGAACAATCGATGAACGTAATAGCCAAGTATATTTCTCCCGACCTAATCGTACTTTCTATTCCAATGAAGAACGACTATCGCGTATCGGCTAAGTTTAAAATACTCGGTTTCTTAATGCTTGATGAATTGTTCCGCGCGATAAGCGTATTTGCTAAATCAATTAAATCAACGTTGACACAAATTCGATCGTAGCACGTCGGATATCGATCATCGATGGCTAGAAACGTCTTGAAATATCGACGAGTGCCTGGGCTGAGGCTGTTTAACCCATCAATCCGCTGGACTTACGTCGGTTTTTAACGGATCTATTCTTCTAGCTGTCCATTCGCGGTAAAATGTTTCAGTTTCACCTACTTTGACGTATTAGGCGCATTTCGAGTGACGATATTTCTCGATACGTTGCAAAATACTTTATTAGCGTGCTGCACGTCTGCTTCAACATCAGCTTCTCCGCGTTTGCAACGAGAGATGATACGGTTTAATCCTTGCATCACCAACACTTCGATCGCTCCATTCGTTCCGCATTATCCTTCGTATGCGTTGTCAGTCAGTCAGCCGATGCCGTTCCGGACGGCACCACACGCATTTCGCTACTCCAATCGTCTCTCCATGTAGATCGAGATTTTCTGCGGGCTAATTCTTTCTTTATTCTTACCCACCTTCTTCTTCCGAAAGATTTATCGTTTTGAAACAGTTTATAGGTAGTTTTGTGAATTCCGAAAACCTTGCCTTTTGGCAATCTGTATAAAAAATAAATAAAATAATTTCTGTAGTAAATTTATTATCTAAACATCGATCTAAAGCTAGACCTTTATAAAAATTTAATCTTTCCGCTTTGATGCGATCAGAGCGGCACTTTGTCGGTCATAAGCGACGTAATTATTAGAATTATTGAAATACGCGTATGATGGAAATGTTGGGTCTGAGGAATGTTTCGTTTCGTTTAGAAATTTGGTAAAACAGATTGGAAAGCGCTAAAAATCCAACTGAATCGGGATTATTTACGGAGTATCGATGAAACACCTTCGAACAACGTCGGCAACGTTTACGAGCTACTAACCATGCATTTGAATGACGAACGTTAACCGTTTGAATTCCGTTTTTTAAAGACAATACTAGCGACATCGCCAATTTTATTCCGATCACCATCGATTTTAATCGCGATTTGATTAAAGTTTAGATGAAATATAAGAAAATGGAAATTAATTTCAACGATCGGAGAGTGAAATTCTCTTTTTTTCATACATTGCCCATCTTTTAAGAATATTTTATTCGTTGCACAGTTTTAATATATTGCGAACTTGGGTCTCTCAAGATACCAGCGCAGTTAATTTGCCAAAATTCGTTTCTTCTTTTTCCTCGAGTTACCTGGCATTGTCCGTTGTGATCATTAACCAGCGACTTACAGTTTTGCTGGATTGCAGTTTTAAATCTTAGACCTGCTAGCACAGGTGAACGTTAGTGTTTAAAACAAGTGTCTGCTTGTTTCTTTTAAGTTCGATGAATGGAATTTGTTAGAATTTAATCTCGAAATTAAGATTAATAATCTGTGGAAGACACAGTGTTTACGTTGAAATAATATTATGTGATATTTATTAAACAAAATTACAGAACCAAATGTATTTAAAATATAAGTGAGTGTTATGGATTGTTGACAGTTGGCCAGTTACTCTCAGATTGACTGTACGTAGTGACCCATGGACCCTTAAAAGATTTTGAACCCCACTCTCTATACAGTAGTGAGTATAACCTGTCCTGTTCATATGCCTGTATAGGTGTCTGTGTGGCGGCACGTGCCACGGAATCTTCCAACGGTTTCGCGATACAAAGCGATACGCCGTCAAAGCGCAACACCGACGTGCCCAATGTGCCATCGATATCTTCACGCTCCTTCCGCCGAATTCTCGGAAGAGCATACACGCGCTAGTCGTCCCGGTACATCTAATGAACGCACGCTAATGGGGATATCGATGGGTAACAAAGGAAAGAACCCGTTCGATCAATCACCTTATCTGTATAAGATTGATATCGTTGCATTCCAACAGAATTTTTATATATCTTTATATATCCCTACGGAATGAAACCACCAAAACGAACAATGTTCTTCCATCATCTAAAATGCTCTAATTATTAAGTTCCAAGTTCTTGTATGAAAACTTGAACGTTGAACTGAAAGAAGTGCACGATATTCGTTGCTAACTTTAACAGAACTTTAAACTTTAAACGTTCGTTCGAGGAATTCCTAAGAATAAATAAATTAAAGTGATAAAAAAAGTTTGAGTTTAAACTGTCACGTCCCGCGCCCCGCACGATCCGTAGTGCGAACGTAAAATTGGTCATTTCTTTTAAATCAGGGTAATTTAAAACGTTTATTCAAAACCGTGTTTACAGTATTTGAAGTGAAAGGCGTGAAATTTGAAGTTAAAAACGTTAAAAGCTACATCTTACGATAAATTTATCTATGTTTTCATAATTACTAACTATGTTTTTATAACGATATTAAGACAGTTTAAAACTGTAAAGAAAGTAGGCAGTTTGAACAAACGTTGGGGACCTTCCCAAACATTTGCAAAAGAAAGACCCCGACGTTTTTTCATCTCCGACAAATATAAATAAATGTAGCTACTCATAGATGTTAATATTAATTACCGTTCGTCTATAAAATAATTAATTACCGTTCGTCTATGAAATAATTAATTACCGTTCGTCAACCGAATAATTACCATTCATCTACCGCAGAATTAGTTATCATTTTGTCAACCGAAGAATTTTATATCCGTCTAACTAAATAGAATGTGACGTAAACATTTTCTAATACGAAAAATTAACTAAAAAGAGAAACATCCTTCTGAGAAAAAATACAACACGATTATTATACTTAAAAAGAAGAAACTAAACAACGTGAAGTTTCAAAGAGTTCAATAACAACGGGATACAATGAGAAAATTGGACGAAGATTAGACGTGTCAGCGAGGAAGGAGGAATTTCATGCAATAAACCCGTCGCCAAAAAGATCATTCGTGGCTAGGAGATTGTAGCGCAATAAAACGAGGAAGGAAGTTAAAGAGTTCTTCCGCGAAATTATATTGAATCTCTGGAAGAGAGGTCAGCGAACTCTGGCACGCGTAACAACGTAACAAGCGTTGTAGGTGTCACGTCGAAGACACAAGGAATCACGAAACCGATAGATCGCCGGTGATCTTGTCACGTAAACTTGAGGGTTGTGTGATAAAATAACTATAGCTGAGTCGTAACACTACTATTAATTTTGTTTTAATTGAACTTTATTACAAATTCAACAATCAAACTGGAATACACACTGAATTAACATAAATCACAATTCACTCCAACCACGTTATGTAAAACTTAGTTACAATGATACGTTAAGCACTCGACTGTTATAAGGGTAGAGACCGGTAAAGATATGTTGACTATTCTAAGGATACGGAATAAGTGAAGTTTTACGGACGATACTGTGTCTGGGGAAAGCTAGGGATGGGTGTGTCTAAGGACACGGGACTATCGGACTTGTTGATGATAATTTTGGTTAAGGAAGTGAGGGTAGTAGACATCTTTCTCCGATTGGATAATAAGACGGTTGGTGGACGAGGAAGGGTTTTAGCCGCCCTCGTGAGAAAGTTGCTAACGGAACATACCAGACGCGAGGAAAAACTAACTTTCCGTGTTAACCCATAGTAAACAATAAACGTAAAAGGAAACCTGAGACAAGAGATACTCGCTTGGTCCGAAGGGCCTTAACTATGAAAATTCCAAGAGCCCCGGTAGGTACTTAGGACTATTGAGGGTACGCGCCAAGGATGTGCAGACATCTGGGCGCCATTCTGCCCGCGGTGTGTGCCCTGATCTCTGATGTGAATTGACGTCACAATCTCCTCGCGTTTATTGAGTATTGATTAGCAACTTCATGCTCTGTACGAGCGATTGAGCAAATATAGTCTGTATATCTATTTATTATTTTTAAATATATTCAACGGTTACGACAACAAGCAATAACATCTAATAAATCTCACGGTCAAACATCCTATATACCAGTCCTCTACAAGACAGTGCAGAAAAGTCGGATACCTTCTTCATATTTCAAAGCAAATATCGATAAATATGCAGTTAATAAATATTATTCCTAGTCTTACTTCCGTTGAGGTTTATTTTAGCAAATTTATTGAAAATTTTGCTACCTACGACACGGCGAATTTGTGAAAATACCGGATATCGTCAAATTATTTGCATTGTTAAGCGATATAAACAATGATAATGCCTCAATAATACTGATAATGCCTCAAAGACAGCCATTTAACTTTCTAAATTATCGTGCGATATATTTTCTATTCATAGGCAGCCTAAGAACAAAGATGTCGAATTTAGTAAAAATCGATTATTTCGTGTCCAAGAAATATGTTTACGCGTTTTACACGAATTCTATTTGAGGATATCAAAAGATCGCGACGTGACGTAAGAGAGAATGTAAATTAGTAAGCTAATTAGCAGCAATTTCAGTAGTAGTAGTAGTAGTAATTTCAGTAAAAATATCAAAGAGGACTCGTATATTGTACTTGGAGGTATGAGTGGATCTGTCAAAGTCATGTCTTTTAGTCCAATAGAGAAAGAACCATTTATACAAGAACCTCAATGTGATAGTTTATTTATTCACTATGAATCTGTTCTCAAGATAAATAATTTATCTTCAGAAACTTGTGTCATCGCGTCTGTTAAGTATGCGCAGGGAACAAAATTCACAAAAAATCACAGTCTACTCGATAATCGATATCATCAAATATTTTTGACATTTCGAAAGAAATTCTCGGTCAAACGTCTTCAAGTTCTCATACGTGATATACATGTAAAAGATGTCCTAGGACAGATAGATATATCACTGGTTCTGCAGTATTCTATGTAAACTTCTGCTTCCTACATAAACATGTCTTAATACGTTGTAACATACATTATAGGATGAACTGAAAGGATTGATAATTGTAGAATTTAAGAATGTATATACGGATTGGGTGAAACAAGTAGCCTATTATGGAAGTTTAAGAGCTTTCATGTTCAGCAGTAGATGTTGTAATTGTTCTTTATTATTTAGTGATCTTACAGAAGCAAGGATTCAATACAAATTCAAAGTTAACATGGGAATATCTTGCTTCACCTTTTGCGACGGTAGTTTACCATAAACTTTTCCTCGCTTATTGACGTATATGTATGTTGTAAGTACATCGTACCTTTTAAAAATATATCTACTTAGAGGGTCAGTTATTAATAACCAATAGACCAGATTGCATAGTGCGGGTTTGGAATCCTTTCGTGACTAGAAGAGCAAATAGTACATTCCAAGGTTATCGTGCACCTATTTGTGCCTTAATTGTACAAGATGCTGGTAAACGCGTGTACTCTCTTTCGAAAGATGGATGTATCGAAATGTGGGATGTATTAACTCAATCTTGTATTCAGGTTTTAATAATAAGATATCTCATTAGAAGATACTTTTCTCAAGTAATATTTCACTTAAAGAAATAAAAAAGCATTAATTAAAAATAGCAATATAAAATCTATGTATAATTAGAATTTAAGTCAAGTTATTTTATACAGACATACAATTGGGTGAACAGCGAATTTGGTGAACATACATCAATGACAGTGGTGTACAATACATTGAATCGTAAAATGATCATTGCTAGCTCAATGATCGCAGCGATTCTTTGCGATCCTAAAGTCAACAAAGATATATCTGATGGTTTTACACATATAAAATCTATCAGCCGCGTTTTATATAACCATCTCTACAATGTGGTAATTTATACGCTTTGTATAATTTTTATTCTCTACATCTACAGAAATGAAAATATTCTACGAAATCTTTTAAAAACTTAGGTAGTTACGGCAGGATTAGATTCTTGTATAATGCCAACGCCCATGCCGCGCTGAGTGCACTCGTTCCCGTCAGATCACGAAAGTTAAGCAGCGCCAAGCATGGATAGTACTTGGATGAGTGTCGTCTGGGAACTCCGTGTGACGTGGGCGAAGCCGGTGAGGTTCGGGCTTGGGCGTTTGTACCTCGGGGCCGCCAAGCAGTCCGGAAGGGGAACCGGGCTGTCTGGCACGGCGGCTCCGGGGACGAGGCGCGGTGTGACATGGCCATATACCGCTCCATCAGCGGTAGCATCGAGCACGAGGAGCGAGCATCGAGCACGAGGAGCGGGGAGGGGGGGGGGTGTCGCTCGCACCGGTTCTCGGGCCTCTCTCGATCGCAGCCGGGACGGTCTTCGTGGAGGTTTTAGTCGGTTGGAGTCCGACACTACCACGCCGCTTTCTCCAGAAGCGGCCTGGCGTTCGTGCGGATTTCCTCCATGTAAATATAAAAAAGAAATATTCTCTATAATAATTTGGGATCCATGGCTTGGAAATCGTTTATTCTTAGTAACGCATGCACACAGTAGATTATTATATGGTGAATTTCATGACATTGAAATTGCTGCTGCTTGTTTCGATGAATCTGAACAATTACTAGTAACAGGCGCTCGTGATGGTACATTGAAAGTTTGGAATTTTAATACTGGTACTTGTTTGCGGAACATTGCTCTTGAAACTCAGTGGTACGCACTTACCTATTTTGTTATCTTCTATTACATATCGAGATTAAAAACAACATTTTTAATAATTGTAAAATTCTGTTGATAATATTCGCAAATATATTTCCTATAAATTCGTTTGATTATGTAGAATGAAACAACCAGTTTAGTTTGGCTGGAAAATCGAATCTTATGTAGTAGTTGGAATCGTCAAGTCGTAGAATTTGCAACTTCTGGCGCATATGTATATAAAAAGAATTGGGGAACGATACAGATGCTACGGCAACTTTTAATGGAGAGATAATACTTTGGAGATTAGAAACGGGTCAACCGTATCGAAAATATAAAGTTAACGATCCAATGTCAAGGTAAGATCTAGAATAATATGAGAAATGTTGAAATAATATAAAAATTACACTTCTCGAAATAATGTGCTCTAATAAACAATGTTGACTAATCAGTGTTATATAAATTTAGGATAAGATACCACGAAGATGAAATAACGTATAAAATAAAAAAATCTGAACAAGAAAGAATTCATTTCGAAACAGAGGTATTCCATGGTATTGCAACTGTACTTTTCTAAAACAAATCTGAATCATAATGATAAATGTTTATAGGCAATATCCTACGGCTTCTAAACAGCAAGAATCTGCATTGAATATTGCATGAATTGTTGCTGTTCGAGCTACGTTATTTTTAAATGTTCGGCCGGTTAAGTCTGATGTTGGAACATTGTTAGTTTCTCTTAATTCAGGATATGTACAATTGTGGTCTCATCACCCTGCTAATGGATTTCTACAAGCTTTTACAGTTATGTATTCTATACGTGATTGTGCATTAGCATTAGCAACTGATCCTAAAACTCATTTTCTTGTAACGGGTAAAAAAGGAATGCATTTAATTTCTACAACATTACTTATTTATTGTAAGATTACTTTTTGTATGTGACGTGATACTTCATTGCGACAAAATATTTAAAATGGAAGAAAAGATAAAGCCAAAAAATATGATTGGAGAGTAAATCCGTTCAAAAAAATTTAGGACACAATGCCGGATACATTAAAGTTTGGTATCTCGCGAATTATTACATAATAGTGATAATAAGTCAAATCTAATAAAATTTACTTCTCGTTAAAAAGTTCAGTCGTACCACAACAATTATTTATTAATTATTTTATTTATTAATTCTTAAAAAGACATATAAATAAGAAAAGATGGTAAAATGTTATTAGTACAATTGTTGAGAATTGTGGATATTTGAAGCCGAAATAATGTTATAAGAACACTAAATTTACACTGAGGATTCATATTACTGAGGATTCATATTAAAATAGTAATATATTTACACTGAGGATTCATATTAAAATAGTAATATATTTATTTCATGGACGATTCCTTATATATTCATCGATACTCACTTGCACACGTCTCAGCACTTTCTTCCACACCCGACTGTTAACCGACTGACTAGTTTACAGTCATCTGTTTTCGAGACGCCGCGCACACACCGACACTCACATACAAGCATCTTTACTACGCATTTAACCCAGTCCAGCACAGAAAATTATACACATCTCAACAATAATAAAAATAATATATGCTTATGATCATTCTAAAATATAAAAAGTGTAGTTTGACGTTCTGTTTCTTCGACCGATCGCGGGGAGACGTTGTCGCTAAGAGAGACGTCAACGGGGG